CCGCATAGATTGAAAATGAAATCAAAATTCGTTTTGGTATCTGCGATGGTTAAAATGACATTCTAAATGCTCAGTCATCAAACATCACAAAGCTCAGTGTGTAATTTGAATCCTTTATGAGCTCCAGGTTAATCATCCTTATGGCATGCATGTAGCTTTTAAAACTCACTGAAATGATCTGATACTCATAAGCATGAAAACCTGATAATTTTCTAATGAGTCTACAAACATTAATGTTTATCTCTGCTTTTGCCAAATCTGCACCAACTATGTATACATACTGAAGGCAGCCCAAATGGCTAAAATATGATCCCCTGCTAGACTGAAAGTAATAAGGAAGGCAGAAAGAGACTGGAGATCTCGAGTGGAAGCAAGGTGTTAAATAATACTAAGCTAATGACTCCAGATTGAAATTAAAGTTCCAGAAGCTAGGGTGGTTTCTTTTTCATTCCTACAATAAGATAACAAGCTGATATGTAGAAGATTCACCTTACTTACACTTTACAGCTCCCAAGCACTTTACAGCTTTGTAAAGGAGTTTCTGAGCAATTATTATTATTACTTAATTCTGTATTACCTATACCACCACCACAGTTCTCAGCCCATAAAAACACTTGGTAGAATTATTACACATGTGCTGAGTACACCTCAAATGTGTTGCATGTAATGTGCAGTTAATAATTTTGGCCAGAGACTGAATGGACTCTGCACTGTACCATCTCAATATTTCTCTATATAAAGTATTTATAGAGCCAGAAGTAACTTTCAAAAGTATAACATTATTGCTATGAAAATAATTATAAAAATGATACCAAATTATTAAAAAATCCATCACAGGTCAAAACAATGTGGTAGGATATGTTTTATTACAATACTCCCACCTAACTTTACACAAAATTGGCTCTCAACTTCTTCTCAATAAGCTACACTTCGGAAGAAACCAAGTCAAATACATGTCTTCTAAAATACCAAATTTACATTTCATTCCAAAAGCAACAATAACAGAACTATCTGAATTGATAAAATTAGTAATATATACTTGATTTTTTAATTTGTAGCTATTGACTATAACCATGGTGATATTTACCAGGATATATTTTGATGGTAGTTTCTGCAGTTAAAGTTATTTAGATCAGTATGTACAGTGACACTGAATATGATGCTAAGTGAGTTCAATGTCAGACAAGATCTTTCTTTCATCAGTGTGACCCATTTAGGAAATTTACACTGAAGTTTTATAAGCCCCAGTAGAAAGACCACAAAGACAACCATTTAACTTAAACCACAAAATTCATTCCAAAATGAGTGCATAACAAATAAACTCACTATAAAAGTTTGCCATTTAAGCTGGTTTCTATTTAGTCTTCCCCAATTTCTATTCTCTATTGCCAGACATTCTATTATTAAAAATCAGCAAAGTGCTCAAGAAATCCCAAAGAGAAAACCTAATATAATTTTAATGCTAAATTCAGAACAATACATACCTGCTGGTCTGCTTAGAGTATGTGTACACATTTTTTGGCATTCTCAGTAATTCACAAGATCAGTGACTTTGATCATGTAAATCCCTTTTTCGGAACTAATGGACAATATGCAGAAAAGAACTTTTATTGCTGGTTCTGCCTTGCTTTCGTGCTGCAGTCACTGCTGCCTAAACTCTGCTCTGCTAAATGACCAAACCCACCTACCAGGAGCCTCGCTAATGAAAGGGGGTGCCTTCTGAACAATAGAAGAATTCCTTTGCATTCAGAAAGCAGAAATTCCCATTAGAGCCCCAAATCAGAGAGGCCAGTTTTACTCTGTTTTTTAATTGAGATTGTCCCAGCCCTCCTCTACGGTCCAGTGAGACAGTGTTTGTGAAATGATTAAAAAGAACGTGATCTGATCAAGAGGACAGAATAATGGGAAAGGAATGCTAGGTTAGCCACTCTAAGTGCTGGGAAAGAAGACCAATGAGCCGCTTAGCATATTGTTTTTATTCTCATGTGCTCTTTAGCCATCTCATAACACTTTGAGTATTTATTTACTCCATTTTTAATGGGTTAAAAGTTATTCACTTACAAAGGAATTTGGTAACAAGTTACAAATCCTAAAAAAAAAAAAAAATAGAAAATAAATAAAAATCCTTGAATTATATCAAGTTTCCAAAAGGTCATCACTGCCTCCGCTGTGGCCTTTTCCCCATTCCAAATCCTCTATCAATATGTCATAGTGAGTTAGGCAAAGACAAAAGAGAGGCGCAGTGTGAAAACGGCACATATATCTAATCCTGACAAAGCAATGAATAGACCTTCACAAGTATAATTATACTTGTTTATTTGTTGCCACGTACAGAGAACTGATGAAAAAAATCCATCAAAGTGGTATTATGCAGACACCAAGAGCTTCTTTTCTTTGGTTGCTAAAGCCACATTGAGGCTTAAATTCCTTATTGTTAAATTCAGAAGAAAGGGAAAAAAAAGATTTTTGGCTGGACTTTTTTTTTTTTTTTTTTTTTTTT